GTAGTGTAATGCCTCTCCCTTAAAAAGCCAAAAGAGTAAAGTTTGGGAGATTTGTAGGACACTAACAAGAACCAAGCCTGAGGCTTATGTATGCCAGTCTAACTATTAATAGTTCCTGGAATGGCTTTACACAAACAAGAATAAGGCTGTCTATCCCCACGCAGGAGAGTTCATGCACAAATACCACAAGGCTGGACAGTCTGGCTGCACATGCCCTGCACCTGGGGCCCCCAGCCCAAGGGAACTGTCAGGACAAACAGCAGAGGTGCTCTGGGTGCCAGGGCATCCTCCTCGACAGGTCCCTTACCCTGGCATGGGCATGTGAGGCCTGAGAGCCCATGGAGGTGCAGACATTGAGGTTTCCACTAGTGGCCACTCGTGGCCGAGGCCAGGGACCCCAACCTGACTAGCCACTGCTCCTGGCCCAGGGGTTATGCACCTCGGAGGGGTCACTAACCCCTCTGAAGACCTGCCTAGTGCCACTGCAGGACTCAGTTCAGGCCCTCCACCTCATCAGAGTGACGGCTCATCTTTCAAGGCTCCCAGATCAGGAGTCTGTGTTCCTCATGTGTGCTGTCCAACCTGGTAGCTACACGCCACATGCAGTTGTGGGCATTTAAATGAAAATTAATTGAAATTAGATCAAACTTTCAATCCAGTTCCTAGTCACAGTAGCCACTGCTCGTGGCCACTGCATTGACCAGCACAGATGCAGAACTGTTCCATCCTTGCAGGAGGTTCTATCAGACCGGGCTGCACTAGAGAGTTTGGGAAGCCACCTTGTGACTTCCCCGGGTCCTCCGAGAGTTTTCTGTTTCTGCCTCTTCTGCTGTCACTGCTGTCTCTTGGCCTTCAGACTGAGACAGGAGGCCCAGGCTGGGTGAGGCCCAGCAGCAGCTAGCAGCAAGCAGGACAAGGCCCACAGAGGGTGCCCCATCAGACATTGCTGGGTGCATTTGCTGAGACCGGGAGCTCACACCGTGGCCAGGAGAGCAGCGACACATTTCCAGCAGCAGAGCCTGTGGTTAGAGGACAGATCAAGAGAGGTGTGGGGACCACCCCAGCTGGAGCAGGCCTTGAGCAGCTCCCAGAGCCCCCCACACACTGAGGATCCAGGTGTCGAAGTTGCAGTGGTAGCAGCCACCGCAGACAATGGAACTCCCGCCCAGGTTTCCTGGCATCACCTAAGCCCAAGATCGCTTGATGACATCTGGAGCATTGTGACAAGCAAGGATCCCCAATAATGACAGAATTTTAATCTCCCAATAACCAGGTAGAAAGGGTGAGGTAGGGCAGGGCGAGCTTGGAGCAGATTTCACATAATTTAGAGATTTCTAGAGTAAAGTTACGTCACATATTTGATCCCTTAGCATTATAGACTGGAATCCATACCCACTAAACAAATACATTGAGGCAGTGTAGCACATTATTACAGGGGGAATAAGGAGGCTGAAATTAAAACAGGGACGGGACAGATAATCCTGTTCTGAAAATCCTGCTTGTCATTTCCAAAGCTCGAATGAGCATTGAGGATGTCGGGCTCACCAACAGTACATGAAACCAAGCCTGCCTGCCTTTCTCAGAGGCAAGAGTTAGGTCCACATTTCCCGCCGTGCATCTCTGGGTAATCCAAAATTCTGAAGCTGCCCCTAGAGAGACCAGCCTATGTTGGCCAGGGCAAGTCCTTCTGTGATTGCTCTCTGCCCTCCTGGGGCCTGCATGCCCGTTGGGCACACTGGGCACAGTGCATGGGGCCCATGATACTGTTAGGGGCCTGAAAAGTGTTTTAATTTTGATTTCTTTTAAAATCAGAGGAAAACCACAAATAAATGAAAATGAATGTATAATAATGAATCAGCCTGAATGACATTTATCTTTCTGCCAGGGCAGTCACATTCTGCTTTTTCATAAGAAAGTAGTCTGCAAAGACCAAAGTAACTGGGGTCCCTGGGTGTCACCATAAGGCCATGACCCCTGCCCCCATACCAGAGACCTGAAAGGCAGCTCCACACAGAGGTGACCCTGACACTCTGACAAATACTCCTACAGACTGAATGTCAGCAGGAATAATTTTCCCACCTCCATCTGCATCCGGCTCCAAAAATAGTCAAATATCCAGGCAAAATAACTGGTCACTCAAAGACCTGTGACCATCTGCCTGCTCTGCCATCCTTAGCACTGGTTTCCTTCCTCCATGTTGTGTTATGGCTTCATGAAGGCTGCTGGAGTTCCAGCCATCACATCTGCGTTCCAGACAGGGGGAAGGAGGGAATTCAGGTGCAAAAGGCTAAGCCTACTAGAGGGCAAGCTCCTTTAGAGAGCTTTCCTAGAATCCCCAGCTAATCCTTTCAGCCTACATCTTTCATTGGCCACCATATCTGTAAAGGAGACTAGGAAATACCGTTTTTTAACCAGGCACACTGTTGTCCCTAACAACACGGGGTTGTGGTTGACAACAGAGGAAGCAGAAGAGAATGCATACTAAAGTCTCTGCAACAGAGTTCTGAAGAAAACCAGATTGATATTGTATAGTACTCTGTCCTGTGAGTGGGCCTGGGGACAGATCACTCAGCTTCTCTGTAACCAGGGTCTATGTGTTGAAGTAACCACATTGCCCGCAACAGAGGCATCAGGAAGGGTACCAAGGAGATGGTAGCTTCAAGGACTTTGGACAACTTAGAGGAGGGTATTCAAAGGGACAGAAGTCACTTGTTTGATTTTCGTATTAAAATCAAGTAGGATTTCTTTTCATTCATGCATTTAACCAGTATTTATCATGCATCCGATAAAGTAATAAGGACAATCCAAACACTGCTATGTTGACTGAGGGCTGACTTGGGGCCAGGCACTGTTCCGGATTCTTTGCACATGTGGCCCCACTTAGTCCTCAGAACCATATATGGCAGAGTCTACCATTATCATCCCCATCGTTCAGATGTGGAATTGGGACAAAGAGGGGTTAAGGATCACACTGTTAATACATAGAGGGTCCCAGCTTTGAACCATCAGCCTGGCTCTTAGACCCCAAGGAGGTGATAGTGAATTGACAGACAATTCACTCCTATTTTTGTCTTTCTAGCGAAACATATATAAGCCCAATTATGTAAGGCCATCATAAATTCCCCCCAGGAGACTGGCACCAGGAATCTCTGCTGTGTCTGGGTTCATGACTCACCCCTTCCCTCAAAGCCAGCTCTTTCTGAGTCAGGACCGTGTCCTTTGAGTCCCAAGGTGCAGCAAGGAAACTGTCCAGACTTGGCTTCAAAAGTCAGGCTACTTTCCAGCAAAGAGCCAAATGGCTGGGTTGCTTAGAATTTTTAGAACAGGTTCATCTCCAAGGACATGGAACCTATTCACATAATTCAACCTGATCAAAGGCCAGAGAAGCTGAAACTGTCACATACCCATTATCTACTGGCATAATCAAGGCCAAAGGGATTCATAAGGAGGTGGTGGGTTTTGGAGGGAGGGTGCTTGCTGCCATTTCACCTTGGACCTGAGTCCCCCCTTGTGTGCCCCTTGCTCTGCATCATCTCAGGGCCTTGCCTCACTCCTCCATCTTTCTCCTCCAGCTGCTTTACAGATAGGGTGGCCAGTAAAAGACTAGGGTGAAAGTGTTAGCTGGGAATTCAAGGAAAGGCCTGCAGAGGAGTCTGACATCTAGGAGGCTTTGCCTTTTGCCCGCCACTTCCTTCCTCCCTTCTGTCTGGAATGCAGAAGTGATGGCAGGAGCTCCAGCAGCCTTCTTGAAGCATAAGATAACTTGGAAGAAGGAAGCGAGTGCTAAGGATGGCAGAGTAGGCAAATGGATGAACAGGCTGCCTGTTGACCCTTGTCCCAGACGACCTGTTTCCTGTTTGAGGACGGGACAGAAAGAGCAACAGAATCCTTTTTCTGTGCAAGAGAAATTAAGCCTGACTCTTTTCGAAGCCCTTGCTATTTTACACATTTTCGCTTGTACCTAGTTGAATTGATAGAAACTTACACATCCGTCTCACATTCTGTAAGTTATTTGTCCAGCGAGAACAGCCAAAATAATACATTTTCTGCCATCATTAAAATTCCTGTGATTTTTAGTCTGATAAATTTTTTAAAGGGCAGGATGAAGAGAAGAGCTACAAGACCCTGTAGCAGAAGCCCTCACTCGCAGGGTAATCACTCCTAAAAGCAAAAGATAAGCAGGAAAACCACAATGGATAAGATCTGCTGTCACCCTTAGCTTTTCTGATTACACAAAGTGCAATAACCTCTACTTTTTTAATCAGAAGGAATCCTCTCACACCACCAAGCATCCTGCCCACTCATCCTTTCTGATGGCCCAACTTCCTTCTGATCTATTATTGTCTTTTCCTTGCCTGAGCTCTGTGATCTAACCAGAACCCTCCAGAACCTATAGAGAGTCCAATCCTTGCCCGAGAGCCCTGAGCCAGGCCCATACCTGCCTAGCCTACAGCACTGGGGGCAGAGGGAGATCCTCTGGATTATGGCACAAGGGGAAGTTGCAGGAAAAACTCCCCACAAATTAGCACCAACTACAATTGACCAACAAAGTGCAGATACTTCTCGGCGTTCAAAGCCTAAACAATCCGGATGGAGACGTGTAAAGCATTCAATGCTTCATGTTGACAGGCCGATACCAAGTATTTCACTGACAGGTGAAATAGCAGAGTGATGGGACAGAGTGATCAAGGCAGAGTGATCAAAAGGACACAGTAGTACTTCTTTAGGACCCTGGCAGAATGGAAGAGAGCATCTGGCTTCTAAGGCACTGCACAAACTTGAAAGATCTTCTTCAGAATTGACAAGGAAAGGCCATGTTATGTTCACGCTGGGTTAAGTTTTAAGTGTATCTTATTTAATTTTTTTCAATATGAGTCATCTCCAGATACTGCGACGATTTCCAAATAACCCGAATCTAGATGACTAGAAATTCACTCTAGCTGGCTTTAGACAGGAAGCGTGAGGACAGAATCCAGCTGCTTCCACTCCAGGGTAGGTCTGAAGCCAACCGTCCTCAGTTTCCTGGCCTGTGGCTTCAGTCTGGTTGGATTACACACAAAGCCCTGCAGAGCTGCTGCTTTTCCTGATTCTCCTGCCTGAGTGAGTGCAAGGGGCTCCCCTGTTGCCGCCGACACATTCTTTGAAGCAGATGCCATGCCTGATGCCTGCTGGAGAGTCCCACTGCCTTGAGTGAGTCAACAAACCAATCATCCTTCCCATCTTCCAGGATGGATATTGGGGTGGGGAGAGGGTAAAGGGAATACCGTAAAGTTGCTACCATATAGTTAGGGCTGAATACAATGGGAGTTCTTATTGTGAGATGTCAATGACGATGACCATGATGATGATGATGATGATGATGATGATGATATCTAGAACTCCAGGTTTTCCTGGAGCGAACCAAGGAGGATTCCCCATTTACCTAATAAATCAATGTCCTGTAAATGCAGAACATGCCATGTAATTGATGACGCAAGAGGGATCTCACTTCCGGGGGATGCGAATCAATTCTTTATGGATTCCCACAGGGCAGAGGGACCCAGATGGAGACACTAAGCTTTCTGTTATATTTCTGAACGAATGAGTATGTACGTAACAGTTATCGCGTCTCCTTGTAACTTGTGTGCTAATCATAAAATCTTCACAAGAACTCATGACACTCGTGCTATGACTATTCACATTTTACAATGAGGAAGGCGGGACACCAAGGAATTAAGTAACTTGCCAATATAGGGACGAGTTCACTACACAACAACAAGGGGTGGGGACAGCAGTCAGGTACTGTGGAAAATGCTGGACATGAGGTAGACCAGGTGCACCAGGTCCAGGTGCTGATGAGAGGTGGAGAGTGGGAGACAGGTCCAGTGAGCCACAGGCCAGTCCCTAGGCTGAGGGCACCAGGACAACAGGACATTGGCCAACTTCCAGCAGTCATCACTGGCTGCATTTCATTTTTGCAGTTCGATTAATACATGCTATATATTCAGGATGCCCACGGCCTTACTTCTTGATGACAGAAGTGATGTCAGTCCCCCCACAGGCTTGTTTCTCATGGGTAGGAGGTGACTCAACTCCTAATGTCCAGACAACTGCCCAAATTCTGCATGAAAAAACATGATCAATGTATGGAATAAAAATCAGCCACCTCAAAACCCTTTAAAGGATTGAAGGACGTGGGACCCAGTGATAAGCACATGTCTGGGACCCGGCACCTTCTCTGAAACAAGGATGAGTGAATGTTGGTGTCCACACCGCACGGAAGCGCTGTCTAAGGCAGTTTGCCTTTTACTGGCTCCCGTCTCCATGAAGGTGGCACGTCTCCAAGTGCTTACAAGGAGACAGGGTCTCACCCTGAGAGGACTCACCCAGAGAGACAAGCGGGGCTGCTCTCCCGGCTTAGAAATGCCTGGCACCTGACTTGTGGAGGCTCCTAGTTGGCACGGGATTGTTAGCCTTGGAAACAACCACTGCTCATGTTGGAACTGCAGGATCTTTCTTGAAAAAGGTGTGGAGCTAACTCAAGGACCACAAGCCCAAGTGCCTTCAGAGGGCAAATTAATAAGAGAGTCTAGCAGAGTTAGTGTTGATGGAGCTCCTTCTCCATCCAGGCCCTGTTCTGGGGGCTGGGCGGATGCTAAACCATGGGGACCACACGGCAGCCCCACGAGGCTGGCAGGCCCTTAGCCTGGCTTCTGAGCCTCCCTGTAATCGCACTCTCCAAGCTTTGTGGCATCAGGGTGTGGCAGCGCCTGAGATCCGGAGAGCTTGGACCCCACCCACAGTTATCTCAACACCAAAAAAAAAAAAAAACAATCCTGAGCAGGCCAAACAGAATCTGGTGGGGGATGCCTTCACCAAGGCTGCATCTGGTCCTAGAGCTGCTGGTTTGCAGCCCAACTATTTCATTTTATTTTTTTAATTTTCTCAATATGTATCTTCTTTTATCTATAAAAGAGTAAGGTTCTGGGGAGGTTTTCTTCCTTGGGATCTTGTTCTCTCATTTTAAGCTGACTTAATCTTCCCACGCTACACGTCACATGCAGAGCGCCAACTTTGAAGTTTACTCGGTGACCGACTCTCCCGCCCAATCCCTCGGTGAGGTGACGTGCGAGCGGAACATCTCAAGGCTCCAGATGCAGCCTCAGCCCTCAGCTGCCCTAGCCTTAATAAACACTAGATTTTTCAGAAACTATGTTCAACCTGTTCCCTCAAGACAACCTAAAAATCGTCAACGTTAGCCAAAGTTTGGAAGCCAAATGTGTTAACTCCTGCCTTAGAGACAGATCCCTTAGCAGAGGGGGTCTCTCAGCAGTAGCCCAGAGGAGCTGGGACCCAAGCTGGGAGCTGGTCACTTACACAAGGGGGGGCATCCTAAGTCAATTTTCACCAAAGATCCACCAGCCAAGCCTTCCTACGGGGGGCCGGCCAGCCACCGTGCTGTGCTAAGGGGCAGATTGAACATTCTCTTAGCTGCTCCAATTTTAGAAATTGGGTGCTGACTCATTATTAACCCAGGAAGCCCACACACTCAAATGACTGTACTGAAAAAGCTCCCTGTCATACCCTGCCTACTGATGTGTTGCTTTTTAAGCAAATTTGAAAAAATGTTTATCATAAGGTATTTATGACATTTTAACCGTTTCATTTACAGTAACTAGAACAACATTTAAAAAAAATGTTTCCTGTATTTTACTTGACAGTAAAGCTAAGCTTCATCGGAATTCTAACAGCCTGAGAAATACCTATCAAAATCAAGTCAGGCCTCAAAGACTGAGTGCCCCCCTCCTCAGTCCTCCCCAGTCCCCCACCCCCAGCGCTAGCCCCCAACATTTTTATGTTCTTCCTGATTTTACTACAGTTTGTGACTTTCAACGTTAAGGAAAAGGAAAGGACGCAAAATAAGCTCCTGCAATCATTCATATGCTTTTAGAGAAGGCAGCCAAAGTTCTGCCTCTCTGGTATTTCTTGCACCGAAATTGGGCAGCTCCGACCACGAGGCCAGAAATGGCTCAGGAGCTGCCTCTCCTCCACCTCTGAGAAGCGGAAGCTCACCCAACCTCAGCAACCCTGGGTTAGCACAAGTATACCCACTTCCATCTCTGAGCTTCACTCTGGCTTCTCAGAGGAGTCCCGAGCAGCTTATTTTCCAGCCAAGCACTGCAGTTTCTTCCAAGACAACAGAATGTGCAACCGGCATCTACATTCTCGCAATGAAGGACCGAGAAACACCTCCTGACAGTCACACTACAGGACAGTAACCACAGGGCTGGAGGCAGAGGCAGCCACTTTTCTAAAACAACAGATCTTCAAAGTCTGAAAGAAACGCAGTGTCCCCGCCAGGACGCAGCAGCGTTTCCCACAGCCCAGACTCCAAGGCAAACTGCAGAAGCGACCCTAAAAATGACAGAAACATACTCACCAGGGAGAGGCTGGTGACTCCACCTTCCCAGGAACTGTGCTGTGAACATCTGAAGACAGGCACGGGCTCAGGCACCGCTTGTCTAGAATGTCAATTTGAAACTTAAAAAGTGGCGACCATCCAGTCATTTATTTCCCTCCATTCCCAATGATGTACACACGACTAAGAAGGAAAAAAAAAAAAGGCGCACACCTCAGCCTTCATTCTCATTGGAACGAGATGACTCATGCTGACTCATAGCCACCACTTCCTCTCCCGACATTCTCTTCATACTTGTGAGCTGGACTGGTCCGGTTCCCAGGGTCCCTGCAGCCCTTCCTGGAAGGGCAGCCTTCCTGATCCTCTCAGAGAGACCCAAACACTGACCCCACATGGGACCCAGGGGTCGCCCACACAGGGGAAATGCTTTATTTAGGAGTCTTGAGAACAACTGGAAAATAAAATGCATGAACTTTGTGTGCATTTGAATTTCAAATACATACTAAGATTTTGTAATGTGCTACAGGCTCATGTATGAAATTCTTGCTCTTTTCAAGGCAGTTCAGAGTAGAGAGAAAGATGAGATATTTTCTTATTCTTTTAGGTGTTCAGGTTTACTTTGTTCTGGTGATAACCATTGCGGTGCCTGTTTTCTTCTGCATATGTTCCTCTGACACAACAATTCACAAGAGCTAAAATCATCATCTCTTCAAAGCTGTCTGTTGGGGGGTTGGTGCCCTGTTTTTCAGTTTACATGACTTACATCTTTTCTATCCATCTTTCAGACTTCAAGAATATGCTAGATCCAAATAGTAAAGCAACAAGGAATTAAATGAAGGTAGAGCAATCCAACTCTTAATAGTTGTTGGAGAATGTTTATCTGCAAGAATCAAGAATTGTCGCTGCCTCCTGGTTTTCTTTTGAATAATGCAGAGGGCCGGGCAGCCTCCCACAGCTTCAAGCATTTTTAAATCATGAGAAGCACTGGGTGTGAGCAGAATCCATGTGATCCTTAGCAGCTGCTCAAGAAGCCAGCAAAGCTGCTGTGATTGCATTTGCCCAACTCAAGGTTTCTGGGGGTGACATAGTCAAGGTCATGGATGAACAATGGCGCCCTGGAAGCCTTTTTTGGCTTTGTACCTGATGCTATGTAGGCTATATTCTGATACTCCTAAAGGTTTAGAGTAAATACAGAAATAATATTTTGTCGGAGGCATGAGACCCAGTTTCCATTTACAGCTAGATTTGTCTTAGGGAAAAAATGCTTATTCCTTTGCCACATCTCAGATCTTTTATCGGGAAATTCAGGGCATTTTTTCCATCAGGCAGTACCAAGTGCGGTGAGTTCCCTATGAAAGTTGTAGCATATTGGCCATTTGGCCAAATAGTCTCATTCCTTGCAGTTTTGTTTTTTATGGTTCTTTCCCCCAGGAGAGTTCAAAGCCTGCTGGTTTTCCAGAATTTAGGAATGCCTTTATTGTGCAATTCATTGCAGTGCATTTCCTTTAGGGGGAGAGTGGACAACAGGGAGGAGGCACAGCCCCAGAGACAGTCTTCAGCCCAGCCCCTGTCATCTACTAGGCGCTTGTCCGAGGCCCCAGGGGTGTGGCAGCCCCACTAGAAGAATGCATTGACCAGGATCTCTGCAGAGATGTGGGTTGTTATGTTTGTTCTCTATGTGGAAAGCCAGCCTTTACCTTCTTTATGAAGACTTTTATTAAGTTAACTCGTTAATTCCTGGGAGAACTGAAAATAAAAATTAATTTCAAAAAATAACACCAGGGATGAAAGAAAGAAATGTGAAATAGTTAGAAAACATGGGCTCCAAGCAGGGCCATACCTTCCTGCCACATTAGAAGTGGTTTCTTCCACAGTGGCACTGTTACAGGAGCCTTCTGGAACATTCTGAGGCCTTAGACACAGCCAGGCCTGCTCCCGAAGCAGCAATTTAGACTGCCACCATGGAGGATGAGTGAAACTGTGTCCCCCCAGTGCAGTGTCTCATTCGAAGATAATCCCAGAAATGCTACATCTTCATTCCTGATTGACTTCAGCCCTTCTCATTTGGAAATGGGCCGGAAAGTGGGGAAAAGATGCTAGTGTGAGAAGGGGGAAGCCATTCCCAATATACTAATAAATAAATCATTCATTAAGGCATATGAGCACCACCCCCCCCCACATTATTGCTAATATGGAACTTTCTGGAGTAGATTCTCTTTAAGCTGGCTCTGAATATCCCACCAGAAAGGAAACAATGATGACATTTTAAACACCGCTACATTGAAAACACTGAACATCTGCATGCTCTTTCCCCAAAGAAAATAGCCCTGGAAAAATGTAGGTTTCACGAAATTAGGAAAACAAAACAAATTTCATTTATAAAGACAATGTACAATCCAGCATGTCATAGAATTATTATAAATAATGATGATTCGCAGTAAAACTATCTAATATGTGCCAGTAACTCTCCAAAACACACACAGATATTAAGTTTTCTGATCCTTCTGGTAGCTCTACACCAAAAATAGTGATATCTTCCCCATTTTTTAGCAAAGAAACAGAGGAGTTCAGGAGCTTGCCCAAGGTTGCAGAGCCTGGATGTGCGCCCAGGCCTCCTGGCTTTAGAGTCCACATTCCTAACCACCAAGCCAGGCAAATTCCCACAAGTGACTTTTTAAACATCTTCGCACACACATTCCCTGAGCTCATGATGTATTCTCCCAAATTCTGCAGACATACATGAGGCAAAGGCACTTTCTCTTCATTTGAGAAGTGAATCAAAAATCCTAATTTTCAAGTAATCGATCCCTTCAAATAATATCACTTCTATTTAATGAAAAGAGCCAATTAAAATTACGCATTGGACACTTCTCAGAAAGTACCATGAAGCTGCCCACACTGCCAATATCTCCAGCTGTGCTGCTCCTCCTACCTGGAGGACACAAGACCGTCAGAGGCCCTCACATCCCTTCCTTCACTTATACCTTCATAGCAAGTCTCTTCATCATCCTCCATCCAGGAGAAGTTTCATGCCTTCATTTCAAATCTAGACCCTCCCCGATACACCTCATTTGTTCTCTGGGATTTTGCTCCTAACCAAATTTAGGCTCTTTCCCTCCAACATCTTTAATCGCTTCCTGTCTGTGGACCTAAACACAAGCTCAAGTCTCTTTCATCCCAGTAACACCATCCCTGCCTTTGACCCTGTGGAGCAGACCCAGTGGGTACCCCCACATTTATTCCATCCCTCCCCCATTGGTAGCAATCTTGACATTTGGTTAAGATGGACCCTACCCTCATAGCCAAGGGAGTGTTCTCATCGGTTAAGCAAAACAAGGGCCACAGCCACTGTGAATGGCTCCTAGATGGGCTCCCAGGCCTATGTCAGTTAGGGCACATTTTTTTCTAGCCACAGTGGTAAGCTCAGGGGTGCCCAACTGGAGCAAAAAGCCCAAGGCTACAGCGATTGCCTCAGGGAAGAAATAACAGGGAAGAATACACAGAACTAAAGAGTCTCCTTCTTGCTCTAAAGTTTCAAAAGTCCAGGACAAGGTATTTACTGTAGTTTAAATGTGTTCCTCAAAAGCTCATGTGTTGGAAACTTGGTTCCCAATGCAGAAATATTGAGAGGTGGGGCCTTTGGGAGATGATTGGGTCATGAGGGCTCTGCTGTCATGAATGGACCCATTCATACATTAATGGATTAATGAGTTATCACAAAAGTGGGTCTCATATGAAAGCCACTTTGGCCGTCTCTTGTGGGTCCTCTCACCGTGTGTTGCCCTGAGCCATCTCAGGACTCTGCAGAGAGTCTGCACCAATAAGAAGCCCCTTACCAGTTGCAACCCCTCAACCTTGGACTTCCGAGACTCCAGAATTGTTAAAAAATAAATTTCTCTTCTTTATAAACTAGTCAGCCTCAAGTGTTCAGTTATAGCAACAAAAAATGAACTAAGACAGTATTATAAAGAGAAAAATAAAAAGCCTTGGAAGAATGGGTGAAGTCAGGCAACAATGTATCGTTGTACAGATTATATACTGCACAACCTAACGGAGTAAATTCATACAAGTCGTGATGTGTACAACCATATGTGGCAAAGCTAGGTGTAGTAACAGGCGATACCATCCCAAGTTCACATAAGGATTGCACAGGCTGGGTGCTGAAGAGAGTTAGAAGAAAAAGGATAGAAGGAGGGGTGTGAACCCTGTTCCCCAAGACGGGTGCTGGGAAGGAGAAGCATGATCACTCTCTCCAGAGCAGTTGAGGGACTCTGAGAACAAAGAGACATCTGAAATTGGGATGATAGGATATAAGAGTTTGATTGGCAGCCGGGCTCAGTGGCTCACACCTGTAATCTCAGCACTTTGGGAGGCCGAGGTGGGTGGATCACGAGGTCAGGTGTTCGAGACCAGCCTGGCCAACATGGTGAACCCCGTCTCTACTAAAAATACAAATATTAGCAGGGCATGGTGGTGAGTATCTGTAATCCCAGCTACTGGGGAGGCTGATGCAGGAGAATCGCTTGAACCTGGGAGGTGGAGGTCGCAGTGACCCAAGATTGTGTCACTGTACTCTGGCCTGGGTGACAGAACAAGACACCGTATCAAAAAAATAAACAAATAAAAGAGTTTGAAAAGAGTTTGATTGGCAGTGCTTCTTTCTTCCTTACTGGAACTTAAACTTAATGGTGCATCTTATAATTGAGGGCATCTCAAATTGGATGTAATATAGTCTGTAAAGTTAGGAAATTGCATGAGTTCACCACAGAAATGAATGTAGAAAAAGAAAGCAGGAACTGAGCCCTGGGGCCCTGCAGCTTTAAGAGGTCAGGGAGTGAGGAGGAGCCAGCAAAGATGGGAGTGGAGAAGTAACGGCTGGTGAGGTGGGAGGGAAGCCTAGAGAGTGTAGGACCTTCAAGGGCAAGTGAAGAAGGTGCTTTAAGGAGGAGAGACTGATCACCTGCATAATCACTGCTGAAAGGCCATGTAAGGTGGAGACAGAAGAGCATCTGTGGATTTGGGGAAAAAAAAAAAGGAATTGTGGGTGAAGCTCTGAGTTGAGTGAGGAGAGAAAGGGGAAAGAAAATGAAGACAGAACAGACACTGCTTTCTAGAAATAAGGCTGTAGCTGCAGGGGGAAATGAGGTCAAGAGAGATTTCCTTATTTGTTAAGATGGGAAAAATAACAGCCCATCTGTGTACTTATTGATAGAAATAATTTAGTAG